AACGGATGAATAAAATGTGGTGTATCTACATGCCCTGGAATATTACTTGGCCAGAGAAAGAATGAAATCCTGACATCCACAACACAATGGATGGAATTGGAGGTTATCATGTAAGTGAAATAAGCCAGGACACATACATCAATGACCATATGTTTTCTGTCATACATGGAAGTTTATATATATATAAAATGTGTGGAGGCCATATTATTTGTTGTATAGATATTTATGAATGTTGTTTTCATCGAATTGTAACCCCTGTACCATAAGGTACCTTTCTGTCCCCATTCATGATCTTTGTAATGAGTCCCACATTATGTGTTAATATATCCACCCTTGTTTGAAAAATATGCATGTGTGTGTGTATAAAGTATTTACACATGAGGCAAATATGGCAAAATGTTAAAAATCCTTAAGTCTGTGTGTGCTCAGCAAACTCTTCTCTATACTTTTCTGTATGATTGGGATATTTTAAAATAAGAAGGGAAAAAATGTTTTTCAAAGTAAGAAAGAAAAAATGTATTCTGGGAGGCTGGTTAGGCTGCAGTGTGTGGGGCCAGCTGGGGATGGGGCCAGGAGAAAGACTGGAGCAGCATCCCCGAGGCAGGTCTGGAGGAAGACCTGGGGCTCAGAGTGTGCAGAGCGCCGAGGGTCCTCTGTGGAGGAGCTGAGCTATCAGGGCCCCCGCTCAGCCGCCGCTGTCAAGAAGGTACTGGAAAACTGTTCGCAGAGTTATTCAGAAAACTGTTGCTTCATATGTTCCAGGCCCCCGTGAGTGTCCCGTCAGCATTATTTGTGGCTTGTAAGAGAAACAGCAGGAAGCACCTGGCTCTACAGAGCTGGGACACAAACAGGTGCAGGCATTCGTGGGCGTACCTGGTCATTTAGGGCCCTGTGGCTGTGGCTGTACCAAGGGAGAAGTCAGGTTCCTGAGGATTGGGGTCCAGGAAGTTGTAGAAGACCCTCACTGGCTCACAGCACGTTGCTTGTGCTGAACTCACAGAGTCGGCTGCAATCTTTGCAACCAGGCTGGCTGACACCATGACCCTTATACCCACAGGAGCAAACCCCCCTGTGGTGTGGGCATTCAGGGCCACGTGCTGGGATTTTTCTGGCTGTACCGCATTCTGTGGCTCCCTGCAGCAGATAATAGTCTAAGGACATCCCTTGCCAATAACTCAAAAGTAAGGCCCCCAGAACTGTCTTCTCTCAAGAGCTGTCTGCAGGAGGCTGCCCGAGGCAGAGGAGAGCGCTGGCCAGGCAGGAGAGAGAGAGCCTGGTTCCACTCCCAGCCTCCCGGGCTGGAACTGTCCACAAGCAAGACCCTTCTCCTGTCTGGAAGCCCACTTCCTCCCCATGAGATGCAGGAGCTAATGCTCCTCCTATCTTGAACATCCTGTGGTCTTGGTGGTGGCAAACACACAGAAGCTCACCTCCTGCTACAGACAGGATCGTGTTTCCCCCAAATTCCTACACTGAAACCACGTATCCCCAAGTATCTGTGTTTGGAGATCTGGCCTGTGAGGAAGAGATCAAGGTTAAATGAGATTACGCGGGTGGAGGCCTAGTCCGATAGCACTGGTGTCCCTTTAAGAAGAGAGAGCAGATTCTCTCTCTCCCTCCCTCCCTTCCCCCCACACCCTCTCCCTCTCCCCTTACCCCTCCCCCCTACTGTCTTCACAAAGGAGAGTCCATGTGAGGACACAGGAAGAACGTGGCTGTTACAACGCATGGAGAGAACCGTCACCAACCCCACTGGCTCCTTGATCTTGAACTTCAGCTTCCAGATTGTGAAGAAGTAAAACTGCTGTTGAAGCCCCTAGCCTATGGAGTTCTGCTACAGCAGCCCGAGCAGACCAGTACACCTCCTCATCCCTCAAGAGCGAGACTATGACTTACTGGTCTGTGTCTGCTGGGGCAGTCTGCCTCTCACATTTTCATTGGCAAAAGAACAGTACAGTAAACTGGATCCTGGAAAAGAAGGCCCTCCCTGCTTGGGGAGTGTCAGGGCTGTGTCTGTTAAGCCCCAGTGGCCAGGTCTTTGCCAGGGCAGGGTTGTGGGTGTCTCTGCAGCCTTATCTGCCCCCCAACCAATTCTCTGACACCACTGTATGTCCAGCCATTCAGCTTAGTTCTGAAACCACCTACCTGGAGCTAGCGTGTGCGCCCACAAGGCAAAGGCTCAGTGCCACCTGGCTTGCCCCGCCTCAGATGCCAATCACATGTTTGTCCCAGCTCCGCTGTACTTCATAGCCCTTAAAGCTATAAAGTGTGGGTTCCCACGGCCTCCTCATCAAGTTTAGTAATTTTCTGGAATGGCTCACGGAACCAAGGGGAACATACTTCTTATGTTCGCTTGTGTGTTATAAAGGGTCCGACTCAGGAACAATCAACTGGGAGAGGTGCACAGGCCACGGGATGGGTGTGTGGCATGGAGCTGCCAGGCCCTGCCCGGGTGTGCCTGGCCCCAGTGCCTCACGCGCCCACCAACCCGGCAAGCTCAGTGTGCCTCCTTGTTCAAGAGGTTTCATATCCCGATCTCCAGCCCCATCCCTTCGCCCAGGTTGATGGGTGGGGCTGAAATGGCCAACCCTCTAATCACTTGGCCTTTCTGCAACTGGCTCCACCCTGAGGTTACCAAGTGGCCCCGTCCGTCCTGGTCACCTTATAGCAAATCAGAAGGGGCTGATCATGACTAATGAAAGCAATTCCCACCACTCGGGGAGTGCTGGGGGCTTCAGGAGCTCTGTGCCAGGAAAAGCAGACAATGACCAAGTGTCTGTCTTTCTTTCTTTCTTTCTTTCTTTCTTTCTTTCTTTCTTTCTTTCTTTTTTTAAGATTTACTTATTTGAAAGACAGAATTACAGAGAGAGGTAGAGACACAGAGGTCGTATATCCACTGGTTCACTCCTCAGATGGCTGCACCGGCTGGAGCTGTGCCGATCTGAAGCCAGGAGCTTCTTCCAGGTCTCCCACGTGGGTGCAGGGACCCAAGGACTTGGGCCATCTTTTACTGCTTTCCCAGGCCATAGCAGAGAGCTGGATGGGAAATGGAGCAGCCGAGACTAGAACTGGCGCCCATATGCGATGCCAGCGCTTCAGGCCAGGGCTTTAACCCGCTGTGCCGCTGTGCCACAGTGCCGGTCCCATCCAACCGTGTTTCTTGTTGCACCTCACTGGCCCACATGGGTCACTTTTCAGTCTTGGGTGTGGAGGATCCAGTGGGCCGCTCTCTGAGCAAGCCCTGGCCTTGGAAACCTTGCAAAGGTATTGTTACAGACTAAGGGAGTTGTCTGGGGCATCTGCTGATCCACCTTGATTGTGAGGGCGCTGGGCAGATTGGGCCACTGTGGGACAAGTGGACTGCAAGCCACGCCTCTCCGGAAGGGAAGGTCTGCACTGTCACTCAGAGACCTAGATAGAGGACAAAGAGCTGGGAGGTGAGCAGAGCATGCTCTGAGGGTCTTTTAGGAGTTTCCTGTTTGGGGCCTGGCAGCGCTCAGACAGCGGTGGTCTCTCATGACTGACCTGTCCCAAGGAGCCATGGGCAGGGAGCAAGCCAGGTGCCGAAGATCCAGACACCAGAAACACAGGAACAGCAAGGGTGAGGGTCAGGGGACTTGATCGGGACTCTCAGATTCCTGTGAGGCTGCGGTCGATCTTGTCCAGGATTTCCTGGTGGGAACAAGGCACTGACGTTACGTGGCAGTGTGGAGAACGCAGGGCCAAAGCCAGCTGTAGGTTCCTGTGGCTGCACTGTGCCTGTCCCGCTGGGAGGGTCCCCTGTGTGCCAGGCTGACACCAGAACCAGCCGGCCACACTCCCATAGCTTGCAGTGCCATCTTGTTTACTCTCACCCCCATGGTTGGAGCACACAGTGTGTAATCTGCAACTCCGACTTCATGCTGTCCTCTCGGGGTGTTGTATTAAGCACATAGAATGAATGATTTCATTGTCTTCTTCTGGCATTGACACATCTCTTCAGAGTCTGTTATGTCACCCCAGAGGCACTCCCTGAGGAGTCTTGAAGGCAGACGTTTTTTCTAATTCCTCTAAGAAACACATATTTTAAGGGATAGCACATTTTATTATTTTCTGTTTTGGAAAGTTTGTAAACTATAGGCCAGATAGAGATTTTCTAAATCCAGAATACTTGATTTGTTCAGAATGTCTGGAAATTTATTGTCTAAGTTCATACAAGATTGCACGGGTGTATTTTATCTGTGTATGAGAATAAACACTTTGGGGGCTGGCACTGTGGCTCACTTGGTTAATCCTTCACCTTTGGTGCCAGCATACCATATGGGCGCTGGGTTCTAGTCCCTGCTGCTCCTCTTCCAGTCCAGCTCTCTGCTGTGGCCTGGGAGTGCAGTGGAGGATGGCCCAGGTGCAGTGCTTGGGCCCTGAACCTGCGTGGGAGACCAGGAAGAAGCACCTGGCTCCTGGCTCCTGGCTTCAGATCGGTGTAGTTTCGGCCGTGGTGGCCATTTGGGGGGTGAACCAACAGAAGGAAGACCTTTCTCTCTGTCTCTCTCACTGTCTAACTCTGTCAAATAAAAAAAATTCTAAAAGAGAATAAACACTTATTATGCACTTAGTGTTTTAAAGAACAAAAAAAGACTACTTGGTAGCCAGCGCCGTGGCTCAATAGGTTAATCCTCCCCCTTGTGGCACCGGCACACCAGGTTCTAGTCCCGGTCGGGGAGCCGGATTCTGTCCCGGTTGCCCCTCTTCCAGGCCAGCTCTCTGCTGTGGCCAGGGAGTGCAGTGGAGGATGGCCCAAGTGCTTGGGCTCTGCACCCCATGGGAGACCAGGATAAGCACCTGACTCCTGCCATCGGATCAGCGCGGTGCGCCGGCCGCAGTGCACTGGCCGCGGCGGCCATTGGAGGGTGAACCAACGGCAAAAAAAGACCTTTCTCTCTGTCTCTCTCTCTCACTGTCCACTCTGCCTGTAAAAAAAAAAAAAAAAAAAAAAAAAAAAAAAAGACTACTTGGTGAATTTGAAATGCTGTAGGAAACAGCAAAAGAATGTAACACGGAGTTAACTGGAGCACATAACAACATTTTTGTAAATATACAGATACTGAGGCTTGCATTTAATTCACATACGGATACTAACCAACTACGCTTGTACTCTGTAGGTGACATCTCTTTGTTAAAATTCTGTTGAATTAATTTCTTAAAAGTAAATAGTATAAACCACTTATTTGAACATCCGTGGAGTTCTATGGACAGAAATGGGAGCCTTACTCAAAACAGACTGAGAGAAAGACCCAGGGGATCGTGGATTTTCAATCTGTGGCTTCAAACATCCCCACTTCTGGGTGCCTGTTGCTTGCTTTCCCTTGACTCGTCCATGTTCAGGATGGCGCGGAGCATGGCTTCATCTGTCTGCTTTTGTGCTTCACTTAGCACGTGGATGTACGCACCCACACATCCTAACCATTCACTTGGCTCCCACTGCTTCGTCTGGCAACAGAGGTGTTTCAAGTCCCCCATACACAGCCCGCTCTCTGATGGTGGTGGTGGGGGTTGGGTGAGGAGGGGGTGTCACTACTGGCCCTAGACTTCTCTGAAGTGGGAACAGCCTGGCTCCAGTTTTCTGAATTTTCCTGTGTTAATCCCCTTAGGCTCTCAGAATCCATCAGAATTCCTAGTGGTAGGCAGCACAGCCTCCAGCGGATTCACACTTATTCATGAAAAGAACCCTGGGGTGCTCCTAAGATTGCTAGGAGAGTGTGGGAACCAGGCTTGGAGCTTCAGTCGCAGGGCGAGTATCCCAAGTTACACCGCACAGGGCTTTGGTGACAATGCCACCCCCACTGTCCGTGCCAGGTGCTGTACCCTGCCGTTGACACAACAGAATAACCACTCCAGGTGCAGATGGGCACAGCATTGCAGCTGCCACTGCCATAGAAACAGGATCTGGCTTTGCTGCAACTGCCACCACCTCTACAGTGGGTCTCACAGTCACTGCTGCTTTGGTCACCAGTGGCCGCTTCAGATTCCAGAATGGGTGCTTCTGATCGGTGGATCCCGGCTCCTGTGTCTGTAACTACTTGCAAGGGATGCTGGGAAAGGTAGTATCTGGCATGTTAGCTTTTGTGGTGGAAAATGGGTTCCGCCTCCTATGAAGACTCCTAATAGAGGCGACTGTCCACAGAGGCAGGAGGTTCAAATGGCAGGCAGCCAGAGGAATGACAGCTGCCCATGGTGTGGACTGAACCAGCTCTTGCCCCCAGAAAGGGGGTTAAAAACCTTGCTGCACACCAGTGATTCAGAACCGAACCAAACCACGCAGAAAACTGACAGTAGTAACCATGGTAGCAAACAGATATCTCATCCCCTTTTTGCTTACTTCTGAAAATCCTCAATACTGTAAGAGTTATTTCAAATGTAATTGTTTAAAGTTTACTGGACTAGAGTTTCAGTTCACCCAAATGTCTTCTTGAAAGGACTTTTTCTCTGCCCTTGTCTCCAGAAGCTTACATTATTGGCATGATATGGTACTGGGTGGGAACGGAATATTTTCCATTTGTGATGATTTCTAATTTGCACATTGAGGTTAAGTTTCTAGAAATATCCAAACCACAGAGCTTTCATCCTTAACACAACTGTGAGGATATTTCTACCTTAACTCAATTTAACAAACACCTTCTTTTTTTTATTAAAAACTGGGTCACTTTGTAGGAGAAAAAAGGTGTCGTATTTCACTAGATTTGCATTGTGTCATTTTGTCACCCATGGCTTCCAATTCACTTTTACACAGAGGTGCAGTCTCAGAGGACAGGGCACGTGCCATAGTGGTGAGGAGAGAAGAGAGTGATGTGGTAGGGGGAGTGAGAAGGCAGGGAATAGAACTTCCTGAGCCGTACTGTACAGGCCATTTTGCCCTTAGAGAGCAGTCTCCCAGCCTAAGCCTGATGATAATGGCCTAGCTATTTCTGACAGCAGTTCCACCTCGCCCAACACTGTTGCAACAACTGCATCGAGGGTCATTGCAATATCCCCTCTTCCCACCACCATCGCCTGTTCTGACCCAGGAAGCTTAGGAAGAAGAAAATTACCCCATATACTTACCGCACAGCACTGTTAAATTAATTCATTAATTGATTGATTCATAGCTATTTACTAAGACCCTGTTGTGTACTAAGCTCTGTGCTAAGTGCTTTGCATTTATTACCTTATGCAGTAATTCCTCCTTTGTGGGCTGCTGTTATGGTGCAGCAGGTTAAACCGCCTCTTTCGACACAAGCATCCCGTATCGGAGCTCCGATTTGAATCCCAGTTGCTCTGCTTCTGATCCAGTTCCCTGCTAATGCGCCTGGGAAAGTAGCAGATCATGGCCCAAATACTTGGGCCCAGGTACCTGTGTGGGAAACCCTGATGGAGTCTCTGGCACCTGGCTTCAGCTTAACCCAGCCTTGCTGTTGAGGCCATTTGGGGAGTGAACAAGTAGATGAAAGGTCTCTCATTCTCTCTCCCAAGCTTCACTGTTACTCTGCCTTTCAAATAAATAAATAAATAAATAAATAAATAATTCTTTTTGAAAAGTATTGCATATTTTTTTCAAAGTTAAATGGTTTAGTCTTTTTTTTTTTTAGATTTATTTATTTATTTGAAAGGCAGAGTTACAGAGAGGCAGAGGCAGAGGGAGAGAGGTCTTCACCCACTGGTTCATACTCCAATTGGCTGCAACAGCTGGGGCTGCACCGATCCAAAGCCAGGAGCCAGGAGCTTCTTCTGGTCTCCCATGCGCGTGCAGGGGGCCAAGGACTTGGACCATCTTCCACTGCTTTCCCAGGCCATAGCAGAGAGCTGGATCGGAAGTGGAGCAGCCAGGTCTCGAACTGGCACCTACATGGGATGCCGGCACTGCAGGTGGTGACTTTACCTGCTATGCCACAGCACCGGCCTCCCCCCACCATCTATATGTTTTCTCTGATTTTTGGTAGCTGATACACAGAGTACCAAAATAAAACCAAATCCTGATTATATGAGTGAAGTTAACATCTTGAGATCTGATTATAGACCTTGGCTATACACCTGCGGAACACTGGTCTTTCTACTTTTTACTTGGTGAACACTATATTTAGTGGAGTACTAAGCTTGTGATTATAAAGTAAATTGAACATATGTTATCACAAAAATTAAAAGAAAAAAGAAAAGGAGAGAGGGAAGGAAGTATCGTTACGCTTATAGAATTGTATCTTTGAAATACATGAAATCTATTCTTTTTTTATTAATAAAAATATATACTAAAAAGTAATTCCACCTGTGAGGTATATTTAATTGCCACCCTGCTCTCCATTTGAGAGGTAGGAAAACTGAAGCTCAAAGAGCTTAAGAGGCAGAACTAGAATTTGAACCCACAACTCTTTGACTCCAAAGTCTGTGATTCCAGCCCCTGTCTCTAAAGTCTGTGAACACTGAGATGGCTGATGGACAGTGTCTAGCCTCAGTGGTGGCAGGCCATCAGACGAGAAAAGTGACATTAGTCTGTAGTGCGATCCCTCCTACAGTCTGGGTGCCCGGAGGAGCAGTATCCAACCTGGCCTAAGATCTGCGTGGAAGAGGCTCTGGCAGCCTTCTTTTCAGAGGTAAAACTTGAGTTGAGTGATGAAGGATGGGCAAGTTGTGTACATCAAGACTGTATGTACAGGCACAAAGGTGTGAGGATCTGTTGGCATGGCTGATATGTAGGGTAAGTATGGAGAGAGAGAGGGAGGGAGAGGAAGAGAGACAGAGGGAGAGGGAGAGGGAGAGGGAGGGGCATGTTGTACGGATGTTGAAAAAGTTACTCAAGGATAGACTCAATAGAATTTGGTAACTGATCAGATTTGGGGGATGAAGGATGCATTCATCCTTCATTTATGGTAGTTACTGAGTACCTGCTTTTTTTAAAAAAATTTATTTAGTTATTTGAAAGGCAGAGTTACAGAGAGGCACAGAGAAACAGAGGGAGAGAAAAAGAATCTTCCATCTGCTGGTTCACTTCCCAATGGCTGTAGTACCTGGAGCTGGGCCCATCTGAAGCCAGGAGCCAGGAGCTTCTTCCAGGTCTCTCACATGGGTTCACGGGCCCAAGCACTTGGGCCATCTTCCATTACTTTTTAAAGGCCATAGCAGGGAGCTGAATTGTAAGTGGAACAGCCAGGACTCGAACCAGTGCCCATATGGGGTGCCGGCACTGCAGGTGGTGCCTTTACCCGCTATGCCACAGCACGGGCCCCTTGAGTACTTGCTTTAAACCAAGTACTGTAAGTACCAAGTAAGTGCTGGAAGCACAGAGCATAGTCATCTCTACTCATGGAACATAGATTGAGTGTATACAGAGGAACGAATCAGAGATAACTCTGAGTTTCTAGTTTAGATAATGGGAACTGGAAACAGCAGAAGCAGTAGGCTCATGTGACGAGATGTCCGGTCTTGGGAATTGTTGAGTTTGACATTTCTGCGGGATACTCTGCTGGACAGCCACCAGGTCACTGGATTTGCAGACCTGGAACCAGGAGAGACATGCGAGTTGGAGACAGAGGTCTGGATGTTATCTCTACGGATGTGGTAGTGAAAACTGTGCACGTGGATGCGATTGTTCTGGGAAGGTCTATCCGGGAAGTGGAAGGGAGGAAGTCAGAATGAGACTCTGGAATCCCATGATGACAGGAAGAAGAAGCAGAAGGCTGTCTTTCAGCGCACACAGAGAAAAGGCCAAGTGAGAACGTAGCAAAAGGCACCAGCAAGAGAACCCTCACAGACACCATCCCTGCTGGCAATTTTGGACTTCAGCCTCCAGAACCAGGAGAGAATCAGTTACTATGGTTTGAAGCCACCAGTGTGGAGCCTGGTTATGGCAGCCTGAGCAGATGTACACCAAGAGATGAGAGAGTTTCGAAGACTATTTAAAAAAAAAATACCAATGTCAACAAAGATAAAGGGCCCCTGAATCCGGCAACCTCATGACCTTGGCAAGAGCAAGAGCAAGGAGGTGCTGAGGCTAGAGGTCAGACCGGAGTGAGTTCAAGGTTTGCACGCACACATGGGACGAGGAGGGACCCTGTTTCACAGCCCAGCATGGCCTCTAGCCCCTGCCATTTGTGTCTGTAATCCCAAGGGAACTCCTTGGTGCACACACCCTCAGGGACCAGCACAGCAGGGGACACACAGTCAGTTCCCAATAACGCTTGCTGAATGGTCTGACTCTGTTAAGCACTGTCTCAAGTGCTGAGTTAGATGGAGTAATGAAGCTGTCCGATATGGTAATGTCAGCAGCGTTTGTTTAGTGTTTTCTAGGTGCCTGGCATTGTGCTAAATCATATATATATATACACACACATACACATATATGTATATATTTAAATATTTTAATTTACTATTTATTTAACAGGTAGAGTTACAGAGAGAGAGAGAGACAGACAGACAGACAGACACAGAGCAAAGTCTTCCATCCACTGGTTCACTCCCCACTTGGCTGCAACGGCTGGAGCTGAGCAGATCCAAAACCAGGAACCAGGAGCTTCTTCTGGGTCTTCCAGTTGGTGCTGGGGCCCAAGGACTTGGGCCATCTTTTACTGCTTCCCCAGGCCATAGTGGAGAGCTGGGTCAGAAGAGGAGCAGCCAGGACATGAACTGGCACCCTTATGGGATGCTGGCACCACACGCAGGGGCTTAGTCCACTAGCCACAGCACCAACCATTTTGTATATATATAATATATACATAAAACCATATAGTTTTCCTCACAAATTAGGTACTATTATGCTCATTTTTTTTCATGGGGAAAGTGAGACAGAGGTTCAAGCACAGGTGATCTGACTCCAGAGCTGATGCCCCTACGCATGTGTTCTGTGACTCCTGTACCTGTATCTGCTAGGGCTGGGCACAGACGGCTGGATACGACCTGCGAGACATGAGGAATCCATTTGTGCTCCCTGGGCTGCCGGGTTCTAATGTGCAAAATGTGGTATTTGGAGAAGATTCTCTAAGGGACTTTTTGGCTCTAGCATTTTCTGATCTGACGCCTGAATTTGGATTGAATTAGGCTCCATCAGTTGGGTGTAGCATTCACCTCCACATGAAAGTCAGCCAGAAGTTGCCACTCCCTGTTTATGTAGGCAGGGGGCATGGGGAACCTCAAGCTACATGTAGTTGATGGTGAGTGGGGCCAGAGAAGCTTGAGCTGAACAATTTGTCTATCTACTCCCTCAACCAAAGCTGGGTTGGGAGGTGGGGGCTTGGGAGAGGCCGAATGGCTTCCACTCATTGACCAGGGCATGAGAATCCTGGTTGAGGGTTTGCCATCAAATATGTCACTAAGAACAACCAGATGGCCACCACCACAGCTGCTGAAAGGTTTCCCAGCGTCAAGGCCGCTTCTCGGTATGCAGGATCCTAAGCATTTTCTGCTGGGCCCCTGTCTATGTAAGATACTTGATAAAAATATACTAAAAAATTCATGGGCCCATCTTGGGCTCAATTTGTTAATGGAGATGTAGAACAATGTAGAGAAGCCGTATGCATGCATTCATTTGTCGTCCAGTTAGTGCACGTGAAGATTCCTGTTCAGCTCTGGAACCATCAGTTTGTGACCTTTATCACTGGATACTCTGTTGCTGGTTAACTGTGCAACTTCCACCATGAGGAAAAGTTAACAACACTGTCATTCACTCACAGTGCCACAGCCCTTGAGAACCTGTTTGCATTGATGCAACCGAGCCCTCCCTAAGTGCATTTATTTTAATGTTGATTTCAGCATTGTTCCTGATCCTGCTTCATCTATTAGGCTGAGTGTGAGTACTGACTTCCGATGCCCAGCCCGAACGTTGCTGCTGTGCTTCGCGCGTGACCACAGCCTCAAGCCTTCTCCAGAGCACGTGGGAAGCATGAATGCCACTTTGTTTTCTGGCCACGTTCAGAGTTTTACGACACTTGTGATGTAAGGTATCTTCCCACCGTGTCTTCTTTTGACATTGTTAAGGTAGGAATCTCTGCGTTCCCAGAATGTGAACCTTCAGGGATGATTTCATCCCTACCCTTTACTCACAGCCACGAGTAGGGAGGATAGGCGGGGGTCTCATCTGCATAAAGAATGTGGCTACCGTGTGAAGCACAGCTTAACATTGACCGGGGAGAGCATGATGTCACCCCATCAATGACAGCGAGAGGACATCAATTGGAAGGGCTTGTTGGTGGTGGGGGTGTTAGTGATGGGGCAGGAGGTAGAGTGCCTGGCGCTGCTCCTGCTTCCCTCAGTGCTGTAACCAGAGCTAGCCCTGAGGTCGGAGCACAGACAGGTTAGACCCAGGCATGGGCCTGCACACACGGGCTCAGGCCCTAGGGGCACGGTGGAGTCTCTAGGGTTTCTACTGCTGCCAGGGAAGTCGGAAGTCCAGCACTCAAGGCTCATCTGGCTCTCTGCTCCAAGTTTCAGCAGATCAAATCATGGTATGGACAGGGCTACGTTCCTTTCTGGAGCCTCCGAGGATGAATCCATTGTCAAGGTCATTCAGGTTGTTGGAAGAATTCTGTTCCATGCAGCTGTAAGAATGAAGTACCTGTCTCCTCGCTGGCTGTCTTCCAGGGTTTGTTCTCTGCTTGCAGAGGCCCCCATGTTCCTTGGACCCCCTTTCTCCATCTTCAAAGCCAGCAGCATTGGCTCAAAATCTTCTCATGCTTTGAATTTCTCTGATTTTTTTTACCTCTGCTCAATTTCTCTTTTGCTTCTAGTTGGAGAAAGTTCTTTGCTTTGTAAGGATGGGAAAACTTTTTTCTGCCAAGGGCCATATGGGTATTTTTAATATCATTTGCAGGCCATATGAAGCTATCAACTTAAAAATCAGCCTGCTGTGGACTTATTGAATTTTAAGTCCCGCCTGTGGCTGCCTTGGCAGGACCACACGAAGTGATTTCAGGGGCCTTGTATGGCCCATGGGCTGGACATTCCCCACTCCTGTTTGAAGGGATCACACGATGATATTGGGCCCACCAGGATAATCTAGGCTAATCTCTCTATGTGGTCTGTGTTACGCTACTTATAGAGGAAGGAGGTCTATTTTGTCACAGAGTTTTAAAGATTGACGTTCCAGGAACGGGTGGCCCCACTGGCCGAACATCTGCTGCTGCTGGACTCCTCCTGGCAGAGTCCCGAGTGGCTGCAGAGGAGCACATGCGCATGTTCTAGGTCCCTACTTATAACACCACCACAATTTGATCATGAGAGCTCCACCTAAAAACCAAGTCCAATCTGATTGCTTCTGCAGGGCCCTGCCTTTAAAAGGATTTGGGATGAGATGCTAACAACTGGCTCTCCTGAGCAGGGACAAGCTGGCTTTAGCCATCATTTACAGAGCTTTTCTTATGGCCATACCCAGTGCTCTGCATTGGAGAGACAGTGATGAGTATGAATGGAGCTTACAGTCTCCTCTCTCTACGCTTTCTCCCCTCCCCGACCAAAAGTGTGAGTCTCCAAAGTATGTAGCAAGTAAGATGTGGTTCCAGGTAGAGAAGCTTAAACCCAATAACCTCTCAAGTGTCTCTCAGCTTTTGCCTGAAGCAGTAGCGGAAGTGTGATTTCTGGCTTCTTTGCAAGCCAGCAGTCTTGTTTCCATAGAACTGAGTGGGGTATGAATAAGGCCAGAAATGCTGCTCCTCTCGCTGGTTTGGGCTTTGATGTCGGTGGAGACGTTTCATTTCCTGGAGGCCCACTCAGCAACACCAGAAGTGGAAGGTGCTGGCTCATCCATTAATTGTCATAGGGACCAGTGACCCTGCTGACAACAGGAGTCATTTCCCCGTTGTGCGAGGTCACATCTCCTAACCGTGGCCACACTTTGTTCTCACAGGGCACTTTGATGACACTGGGGATTCCATTTTGACTGACATCTAGTATTCTTAATAGGAAAGCATTTGAAATGTTATAAAGTAAGAAAACGCTTTTTTTAAAGGCTGTCAAAGGAAGCAGGTTGAGAAATTTCTGTGCACAGTATTTGCAAATGTGTAAACTGGTAAAACTAACACGTAAGAGAAGCAGGTTGTCTGCCTCGCTGTCTTGAGTCACTGAACTGTAAGTTGCTTCATATCACTTCTGAGAAGGCAGTCTTTTCTCTCAGGTTATGTCTCTATATTAGGTGATATTAAGGGGAAAAGAGCACAATTCAAGCACTGTCGTGCCTAGGGTGTAACAAGTCCCACTGAAGATGCAGGTAATATACACCTGCTTGACACTGTACCCGAATGGAATCTAATTTAAAAGCTGGGACTGATGGCATTTTTCATGGTGGATAAACTTCCACAATTTACTTGGGATAACTGAGATTATTTTATTAATTCATTCTTTAACCACACTTCCACATTTGGAAAATTAAAACATGTATTTAATGTGAATTCAAGTGAAATACCGCATGCTTTGCAATAAAGGACGAACTCTAAAATTTCAAAATGACTCTAAAATAGAAACAGAAAGAACAAGATAAGAGTCAAGGATAGCAGGAAAACAACTGCAGTGTATTTTTGGAGCCAGCACAAGTATGGGGGACTGCACTCATTTCATTAATGCATAGGAGCCTGGAATTTTCTTCTAAGTTTATACACTCTAGACAACTCTAACTGGTTTCTCATGTGTCAAGCATTTAGCATTGTTAGTTACCACAATAACTTTAACATAAGTTATCTATATCCTTCCCTAGGCTGGAGCCTTTGGGTTCAAGATAGCAAATGTGCAAGAAGAATTTGATCAATATTTTTCTTTCATCCACTTTCTTTTAAAAAACTTTTTATTTATTTATTTATTTATTTGAAAGGCAGAGGGAGGGAGGGAGGGAGGGAGAGAGAGAGAGAGAGAGAGACCTCCAGTCTATTGGTTTACTTCCCAAATGCCTGCAACAGCTAGGACTAGGCCAACCTGAAACCAGGAGCCCAGACCTAAATCCTGGTCTTCCACGTGGGTGGTAAGGAACCAAGTATTTGAGCCATCATCTGCTACCTCCCAGGGTATGCGTCAGTAGGAAGCTGGAATTGGAAGTGGAGCTAGGACACCAACCCAGGAACTCTGATATGGGATATGGGCATCCCAGGCCATGTCCCAACCACTATGTCCAGTGCCTACCTCTACTTTTTTTTTTTTTTTTTTTTGAAGTCTGAAAATACTGCTGAGTGGTTAAGAAACCCAAATCCCGGGCCGGCGCCGCAGCTCAATAGGCTAATCCTCCACCATGCAGCGCCGGCACACCGGGTTCTAGTCCCAGTCGGGGCGCCGGATTCTGTCCTGGTTGCCCCTCTTCCAGGCCAGCTCTCTGCTGTGGCCCGAGAGTGCAGTGGAGGATGGCCCAAGTCCTTGGGCCCTGCACCCTATGGGAGATGAGGATAAGTACCTGGCTCCTGCCTTTGGATCAGCGCGGTGCGCCGGCCACAGCGCGCCAGCCACGGCGGCCATTGGAGTATGAACCAACATCAAAAGGAAGACCTTTCTCTCTGTCTCTCTCTCTCACTGTCCACTCTGCCTGTCCAAGAGAAAAAAAAAAAAAAAAAGAAAAAGAAAAAAAAGAAAAAGAAAAAAAAGAAACCCAAATCCCATATTGGAGTGGCTGGGTTGGAGTCCCAGCTCTACTTCTAATTCAGCTTTTTTGCTAATGCCCACCCTGGGAGGCAGCAGGTGATGGCTCAAGTAGTTGGGTCTTGCCACTCACGTGGGAGACCCAGATTGAGTTCCCAGATCCTTGCTTTGGCCTGGCCCAGTCCCAGCTATTGTGAGCATTTGGGTAGTGAACTGGAGGATCGAAGATTCTCTCTCTCTAGCCTGCAAATAAACTTAAAAAATAAAAATATAAATAAACACAAAATGCTTTCTGTATAGATATTATTTCTCTTTCTGATGCAGACCTATAAGCATGCTGCTGCTTGGGATGCCTGCATCCCATAATGGAGTGCCTGGATTTGAGCTCCTGCTCCACTTCCAATTCCAGCTTCCTGCTAATGCCTCCCTCAGAATCAGCAGGTGATGGTTGGCCATGTACTTGGCCATGCACAGGAGACCTGAATTGAGTTCTTGGTTCCTGGTTTTTGCCTGGCCCAGCTCTGTAAGCCGTGGGCATTTGGGGAGTGAACCAGTGGATGAAAGAGCCCTCTCTGATTCTCTCTCTTTCTTTCAAATAGATAAATTAATATAAAAGAAGAAAATATGTCCTAGAAGTTGTTGTATGTGGACAAGAAAGGAAAGCATGGGCTGAGCAATACTGTCGGTGAATGGTAGAAAATCATGAGATTGATTAAGTGAAAATGTCCAGTGGTATTTTAGGAGGTTTTGTGATAACCTTGAATGCTAGGACATAGTACATGTATTTTAAAATCATCAATGATTTTCCTTTGCCTGCCTGACAAATTAAAAGCAGGTACAGGGTTGTAGTGATGGTGTGGTATGATCAGAAGTGTAGTTTTCAGATATATGTGGAAATATAGGAAGGCCAGATTTGAACAAAGAGAGGATAAAGACATAAGTTGGAGTAGCCGTGCCAAGTGAAATACAGGCAGCCTAATGAAATTTGAATTTTAGATAAACAACAAGTCCATTTTGGGGGTTATAATATGTCCCCTGCAGTGTTTGGGACATACACTAAAAAGGTATCTGTAGGTCATCTGAAATTTTATTTGAGTGTGCTACATTTTTATTTGCTAAATCTCAAAATTCTAGTTAGAAAGCCCCAGTGGTCCAAGTAAGGGACTAACCAGAGTGATGTAGGGGAAATTGATAGAAGAGTATGGATGCAAAAGAATTGAAAAGGTAAAATTAATAAGAGTTGACATCTAATAAGAAAAAAATTACATGTCCTAAAATGCAATAATATGGGAAGATGGGCCAGAGTCTATTAGGCTAATTGTCAAATAGAAAATTCACATATTTCAAGAGAAAACAATTCACTAGCTGGACATAGAGTAGTGGTTCTATGAATTGATTGCCTGGATTAGTACAGTGAAACAAACATTAAAAGACATTATTATAATTTTAAGTTTAATTAAAAAGTTAATGAAAGTTACATTCTTTGAAAAATAATGAATACTTCTTATAGATTTATTGAGCAGTTAAAGTCTTTTATTAATAGCACTGGGGATGTAAGTCTGCTTTTTTATAACCCAGATAAATGGAAGCTCATGGCTTTTATTCTCCCAAGACATTTAGAGTTGTATCCTAAAGTCAGACAGCAGCTGTGTGTTTCAGTGCAGTTGGGGAAAGAATCTATGAAAGTGAGTCTGTTGTCAAGCTGGGAAAAATCCCTTTACCTTGTATTAACCAGTACAGTTAAAGAACATTTTGTAAAACTGTGAATTAAAATTATTAGCTAATACACCCATGTTATCTTAGCACAGTGGACTGAGTTCTTATATCTTACAAGACTTTGATTCCAGGGCTGGCACTGTGGCATAGCGGGTAAAGCTGCTGCCTGCACAGTCAGCATCTCATATGGGTGCCGGTTCAAGTCCTGGTTGCTCCACTTCTGATCCAGTTCTTTACTATGGCCTGAGAAAGCAGTAGAAGATGGCCCAGGTCCTTGGACCTCTGCAACCGTGTGGGAGACCTGGAAGAATCTCCTGGCTCCTGGCTTTGGATCAGTGCAGCTCAGGCTGTTGTGGCTAATTAGGAAGTGGACCAGCAGATGGAAGACCTCTCTCTCTCTCTCTCTCTCTCTCTCTGCCTCTCCTTCTCTCTCTGTGTAACTCTTTCAAATAAATAAATAAATCTTTAAAAAAAAGACTTTGATTCCTAGATAGATATACCTATCTCTAAACATATGTGGGTATATATTATGTTTCAAGATGGTAGAATAAATTATAAATTATAAATATGTCTCTTAAGACTCTAAGTTTTGTAGAGCTCATTTTAATTTATTTAACAAATATTTATTAGGTATATGTTATGGACTCAGTTTTTACCAATTACTCATCAAACAGTCTTTTTTTGTAATCTTTTAAAAAAATTTTACTTATTTATTTGAGAGAGAGAGAGAGAAAGAGAGAGAGAGAGTAAGCGAGTGAGTCAGCTACCATTTACTGGTTCACTCCCGAAATGCCTGCAAGAGCTGGGGCCTGGCTGAGCCAGGAGCCAGGAGCCAGGATTGCAATCCAGGCCTCCTTTGAAGGTGGCAGGAACCCAATACTTGAGCCATCACTGTTGCCTCCCAGGGTCTGCAGTCATTAAGAAGTCTGAGTCAGGAATTGGAGCAGGGTACTTCAGTGTGGGACAAGGATGTCTTAACTGCTAGGCTAAATGCCCACTCTCCCCTTCTTCACAGTCTCAAAGAACAAATTAATTAATTATGGAATATAATTAATTTCAAATAGAAACTTCAGACAAACAAACAAACAAACAAACTCTACTTCCTCATTTTCCCAACCACCTCTATACCTGTTTGCTGTGGTGCCATGATGCTACCTGTATTTGCCAGGATCAAGTCAGGAGACAGAAACCACACCACCTATTTAAAGAGAGAGAGATTTTAACATCAAGAATTGTTAACAAGGAGTCAGCATTTTCTGCAGCAGTTAAAATGCTACTGGTCATCCCATTTCAGAGCAAGTGGATTCGAGTTCTGCTTCTGCTTCTGCTTCTAGCTCCCTGCTAATGGGTACCTTGGGAAGCAGCAAGTGATGGCTTGAGTAGTTTGGTCCCTTCTATGCACATGGGAGACCCAGATTGAGTTCTTGGCTCCTGCTTTGACCTGACCCAGCCCTTGCTGTTGGGGGTAGATCTCTCTCTTGCTATTTTTCAAGTAAAATATAAAAGGGGGGGCAGGAATTACTACAAGGGATAACACAAGTGATTGGGGTATTGAGATACAAGAGAAGAATTCTCGGAGGTCACCCCTCAGATTAGAGGACTACAAGGAGGAGTCAGAATTACTAAGCTTTAGAAACATACAAGAGGAGTCTTGTATGCTGGACCCAGACCTCTGAGGAGGGGTCTCTTGTGGACTAATGCTGATGTCACTGGAAAGTGGGATAGAGATCAATGAAGTGGCCTCTGCAGTGTTGTTAATGGATGGAACAGCTGCCACCAGGGTAAAGAAGCGAGACTGGGGTGACATGCACACAGACATGGGACAGACAGGAAAGGGCACAAACCTTCCAACATCAGCCTTGCAGTCTCCTTCTAGAACCTTCTACTGGCAGAGCCTAACATCTAGTTAAGGCAGTGCATATACACAATGGAATATTATTCAGCCATGAAAAGGATGAAATCCCATCATTTGTGGCAACATGGGTGGAACTGGGAGACACCATGTTAAGTGAAATAAGGCAGTCACTGAAAGACAAATACTGCATGTTCTCAATCTTATGTAGAAGTGAACAAAGTTGATCTCAAAGAAGGAATGTAGAATAGTTATTACTAGAGGTTGGGAAGAGTAGGGAGGAGGGGAAAAGGGGGAGGGTTGGGTAAAGGTGACAAGCACATACAGTACATAGGAGAAATAAGCACTAGTATTTCATGGCCCTGTAGGGTTGATATGATTTGCAACAATCTATTATGTATGTTATTTATCAACAAATAGAAGAATTCAAAGACTCCAAACACAAAGAAGTCATAAGGAGTTGAAAATGCTAATTATCATTATTTGGTCATTTTTCCTTGTGAACATGGATAGAATTATCACACTGTACTCCATACCTCTATACAATTATTATGTGTCAGCTTACAAGGAAAAAATAGGAATTTTTTTTAAAAGGGAGAAATGTAGTTCATGGATTTCTGGTGCCAGCATCAGAAAGTATAGTTTAGAAGTGTCAATCCGAGTGGAGAAGACCATAACCAGATAACTGGCACACCTCTTACATATGTCCTGAATCACTGCTTGCCTTTTCTAGTGGGTGCTCCACTTGGAACCAGAATGTTCTTTCCAAAGCCCTTCAAAGCTTCTCACAACTCTTAGACTAAAGGCCCAGAGCTTTCATACAACCTCCAAGCCCAGTGTTGTTTTAGCCCTGCTCACATTTCAGTCTGCATCCTGGACATCTGCCTCTCTCTCCATAGCCTTCTTGGCCTCCTTTCCAGTCCTTGAATGTGTCCTGTTCCCTTCCCCTTCAAGACTTTTTAAATTTAATTTATTTTATTTTATATAGATTTATTTATTTGAAAGTCAGAGTTACACAGAGAGAAGAGAGGCAGAGATAGAGAAAGAGGTCTTCCATCCGATGGTTCACTCCCCATTTGGCCGCAATGGCTGGAGCTGCGCCGATCTGAAGCCAGGAACCAGGAGCCAGGAGCCAGGAGCCAGGAGCCAGGAGCCAGGAGCTTCTTCTGGGTCTCCCATGCAGGTGCAGGGACCCAAGAACTTGGGCCATGCTCCACTGCTTTCCCAGGGCACAGCAGAGAGCTGGATGGGAAGTAGAACAGCCAGGTCTCGAACCAGTGCTCATATGGGATGCCGGTGCTTCAGGCCAGGGCGTTAACCCACTGCGCCACAGCGCCATCCCCCACTTCAAGACTTCTGCACCTGTTGCTCTCTGTTCCTGGAATGGTCTTCCCCTCTCTAGGCCTAGCTTAGACCTATTCATTGTTGAGATCTTGACTCAAGAGTAATTACTTCTTCAGGACAGCTTCCTTTACTCCCTAGACTAGATGATGCCTCTTTGACAAATGTTCTCATGACTCCCTTGCACTCTTCATCATTTGTAATTGTATTGTTGTATTTGATTGGTATTTGTTTCCCAGCTGTTCTGCGAGTAACACGGGTGTTTGGCTCCCCTCTGTCTCCTTAGTGCCTACAAAGTGTGGCATGTGGTAGGTGCTTAGCAAATATTTATCACATGACGTAGTAGCTGGCCAAATTATTTTGTGAGAGTGTGTTAGGATGCTATTGTCGTAAGTACTGCCAGTTTACTAAAAGGAATTAGTTTGTTAGGAGCATTCTGAGAACATGCTGAGTTTTCAAGATCCAGGTCCAAGACAGTGAGTCCCTGCATAGCGGTAGACATTTCCTTTGCCACTCATTCCAAGGCCCAGTTTTCCAGTGCTCTTTTTCCTTCCCATATTGGACTATTTCTGGGATGCTTACCCCTGTCCAGATCACTGCTTACAGATGACTACAACAAAATGTAATAAAGCCAGTACTGGTATAGACAAGGTCCATACAGAGGTATTTGGATGTAAATGAGTGCTTGTGGAGCGCATATGTGAGGTCTTACACGTTCCCATTCTAAATTACAAAAGTAAATGTTAGCTTTATTTATGTATTAATTCATTTATTTGTACCTTTTCCCAAAGTCTGAGTTACTCAGATTTCAATAGCACTGCAAGCAGGGTGCTAATGGCAGAGACTTGCTCCTAAGCCCAGGTCTGTCCACTTTCACATGATACAGAATCAAGTCTGTATATCTTGTAATTTCAAGATCTTAGCAACAGATTTGCTGCAGGCCTCCCCTCATACAAAACACTGCTCCATGGGAACCCACGCAGGTATGCGGGTACAGCACCATCCGAGTTCATTCTTAGAAAAGAAACATTTCTTCAAAGGAAGCATGATCTTCCCACCCTACAGAGAGCTTTCTACATTCTCAGAAGAGGAGTTTGCTTTCCTGGAGTGCCACTGTCTCAGATATCTGTATTCATAATTAGGGTCTCTGCTGTATGAACGAAAGGCCTACTCCAGCGATTTTCCTGGAATGACAGATTGACTGGTACCAAAGATTCATTTGAGATTCCACCTCACAAGATGGAAAATGGTTTGCAGCCTTGAAGAGATGGTTCCAGTTTTTACCCTTTCCATCCAGGCTTCAAAGATATGAAGGATAAGTTACAGTCAGGGCTTATGCTTGACATATCATGAGTAACATATTCCACAAGCAGTGTCATCAAAAAGAAAGTTTCTTACATGTGTGTTTATCTGTGTAGTCACATGCCTATTCAACTCAAATTTACTGAGAGTGTATTCTGTGTGAAGCATTTTTTCTGGTACTGGAATTATTGAGTTGATACTGAGAGAGAGAGAGATCACAAATAAACAAGATAATGTCAGATGAGAAGCACCATGAGGAAAATAGGGAGTGACCGGTGAGGCTGGTATTGAGATGAGTGGTCAGTGGTGTCTTTGATAGATGATGTTTAAGTGGAATTGGATTGCCATGAAGGAACACGTCTTATGGGCAAAAGACATTGCAGACAGAAGGGACAAGGTATGTTAAAGCTCATTTGTGGGAAAGAATTCAGTAAAGGGTGGCTGCAGAGTTGGGATGGAGTGCTGTGGGAAGAGGAGCCCAGTCCTGAGATAATGGCATGGAAGGCTGGCTTGCCTCTTCTACACTGTGCACCATGTTGTCCCGTCCCTGTGGAAGGGCTAATAGCATTTTCTCCTCTCTATGTGACTGACACTTAGGTACAGTTGGAGCACACAGTTTTGCTATTACTATATACCAACAGCGAAACTTAAATTACAGTTGGGAATGCTCACTCGGACTTACCCCTAATGGTACAGCTAGAAACGTGCCATGGGATTCTAAATCCCATGAAGGTGACATGTACCAATGCCATCTTACTAGTCAAAGTAATCAGTTTAAGTTCATAATAGTTTAAGTTCATAATTGATCATAAAGATAGGATTAAGTGTTAAAGGGATCACACAAACAAGACCAGTGTATGCTAATAATAACTGATAGAAATAAAAAGGAGAGAACAATCCAACATGGGAAATGGGATACAGAGCAGACTCATATAGAATGGCAGATGCCCTAAACAGCACTCTGGCCTCAGAATCAGCCCTTAAAGCATTCGGATCGGCTAAAAAGCCCATGAGAATTTCTCAGGCATAGAAAGCCAAGATACTGTGGCAAAAAAATGACCTAAATGAAAGATCTCTGTGAGATCCCAATGGAAAGAATGGGCCATCGAAGAAGGAGGTACCTTTCTCTGAAGGGAGGAGAGAACTTCCACTTTGATTATGGCCTTGTCTAAATAAGGTTGGAGTCTGTGAACTCAACAGGCTTCCACAGCCTTGGCAGCTCATGACAGGAGCCTCGGGTGATTACTGACATCATAAATAAGAGTGTCGATTGTTAAATTAATAACGAGAGTCACTGTGCACTTACTCCCCATGGAGGATCTCTGTACTTAATGTGTTGTACTATGCAAAGTAATGGTAAAACTAGTATTCAAACAGTACTTTATACTTTGTGTGTCTATGTGGGTGCAAACTGTTGAAATCTTTACTTAGTATATACTAGGTTGATTTTCTGTATATAAAGATAATTAAAAATGAATCTTAGTGAAGAATAGGATGGGAGAGGAAGTGGGAGATGGGATGGTTTGCAGGTGGGAGGGAGGTTATGGGGGAAAAAGCCGCTATAATCCAAAAGTTGTACTTTCAAATGTTATATTTATTAAGTAAAAATTTTAAAAAGATTACAATTGGGAAAATAATGATATGGTCTTAGCTCAACCATGGGTGTTTTACAAAGCAATGACTTCATTACACTTTGGAGATGT